AAATAAATCAACCGTTCACTCCCGATATCATTCAGCAATAAAACAATCACGCTCTATCGCCTACCCGTTAACTCGAGAATGTAAAATGAAATAGTCCTTCTGAAGCAGAGGATCTCTGGAGCGCATGGAACTCATTTTAAAACTCGGCCTCCCTTACGTCAGGGATCAAGAATGTTTTTTTTTTCACGTTCGTAACCTTGTGCAATACCTTCTTTGGCATCGAAAAATCGAAAACTATATTCTATTAATAAACCGTCGAACTAAAGCGGTAGCTAAGGAAACACTGGTCCCCTTTGGAAAAACAAAAAAACATGTTTTAAAAAAAAATAACTGAATCAAGTAGACAATTCACAGCGACCAGCCTCATGCCTGGGAGAGACCTCCACAGACGAGTCTGCTGAAGTTCGCCTTGCAACAGATCTACCAGAATAAACTTTTTCTGTCTTTATCCCGACTCGACTAAGCCAAGCGCGTATATACACTTCTTTTAAAAAAATCGTTACAACGTACAGACGTTTCAGTTTATTTAAAAAGAGAAAAAAGTACTTCCAAAGTACGACAAAATCTAACACTTTCGTTTTGTCGATACTGTTTTTTGTACTTATTTGGCAAAACATGGTACTGTCGGTAAACTGTTTTTTTTTTTAGAGTTTAGAGAATTTAGAGAAACTATTAGGAATTTGCAGGCAACGTTTCTTATTGACTTCGGAGTCGCCGAGACCGCCTCACTTTGCGTCTTCACAAGAAGACGTCCTTGTTCAAAAGCAAACAGATGTTTTCGAAATGAGCACGACGTGAATACTTTTCAAACTCAGCTGTGTTTGAAGCCCGGATTGCTTCGCTTGAAGACATTAAATCAGCGGTAATGGCATATTAAACTGGGACATCAGTAACACATTTCGTCTGTAATAACCACACCCCCCTAACAACCACTGAAACACGTAGATATTATGGAACCATTGCGAAACGGGACCAGAAACATCAGTCTCCATCTCCAGCACCTACAAACTTCTCAAAGATACATAGAAGCCACCCATCCATAAAGTTATCTTTGTTTTAAAAGCTGATCTCCGAGGGTGAACAGGGATAGTTCTACTCTGCATACTAGCAGTAGGAACGAACTACTACAAAAAGCGTTTCAGAAAACTGCATTAAAACCTTTGAACTTAACTGAACTTTCTTAATTTAAAAAAAAATAACATTGGAAAAACGATGAGGGCAAACACCTCCACATCTTAAACGATGTTATTTAGGAAGCGTTTAATCGTCGTTAATTTTCTTTAAACAAAGCACGACGTGCGGACGGAAACAAACAGTATTTTTTAAAAAGTCGTTATCAAGTTTAAGCTTATATTTTTTCAGTTTCTATTTGACTTCTAAGGCCACGCAAGAGCGAAACCTTAAAACTTAACAACTTTAAGTTTTTTTTAATCCAGAGAAGATTCCCCCCCCCCCCTCCCAAAAAAAATAGGAACAGACCACACTTCCAGAAATGTAATTAAAAAAGCTGTTCTCCAGGAATTACTTTCAAGCAAAACAATTCTTACACCTAGGGCTCTCTTCAGTTTTAGAACCGATCGGTTTCAACACAAATTAGCCGGACAACAAATGCACTTCCCTCCTTCCTCGGCTATTTACAAAACTGCATATAAAACATTTTTTAAAAAACAGGGCTCCATTCTGGACGTTTTTAATGCAAAAAAAAACCCCGAAGCGCGTCACACGATTCGATGATTAAAAAGGCAGAGTACCCGGGCGAACAAACTTGCTGGCGCAGGGCGCACACCGCTCGGGTCCGGACGGGTTCCCCGGGTTTATTTCAAAGCAGGAGCAGCAACAGTCACGACCAGGCACACGACAACGGCTAGCACTCTCCAGGGCAGCTCACCGCCGCCCTCCTCCCCTGCAAGAGCCGCCGTGTCTCAGCGCTCAGTGGGCAACTTGAGCCCCTGGGCCACGGCGGACAGCACACGGTCGGCTCCGTTTCGCCCACAACACAGGAACGCAAAACTCCCCCTTTCACACGGACACGTCCAGGCTGGGGACAGGGGCGCAGAGCCCAGGCGCTCCCGACCTTCTTGTTTTCTTGCCATTTATTTTTCCTCTAAAAAAAAAAAACGGGGGGGGCCACCTACCTGTCAAACGCAGTTTCACGGGGCCGTTCCTCCTCACCCCCTGGTTAGACATGTCCTTCGCCGCTTTCCAGCTTGAGTTGCGACGCTAGAAAATATTTACAAAGTATCTCTCTTTTTTTTTTCCTCCCCTCCGCCACCCCCCTCCAACCTCCCTCCTCCTCTCCTCTCTTGCTCGCCAGCTTCACAGTGGCTGAATAATGGAGTCACGGCCCGGTGGCCCGGATGTGCGTCGCGCTACCATTATTTCACCAGCGCCGACACGCGCGCCCCCCACTCTCACGCGGACAGGAATGCACCCCCTCTCGCGCGCGGCGTCCTCGCGAAATGTTCCCTGCCTCCCCCGAAAGACACAGGTTCACCCCCCCAATGCCGCCGCGTCCTGTTTGCAGAATAAAAGCAGCAGCAATAATAATAATAATAATAATAATAATAAAAAGGGCGAGCCACGTTCGAGCGCACTTTTCTCTTCCTACATCTCCGGGAAAGACGGACGCACTAGGACGTCGGCGGCACTCTGCACTCTTTCCCACCGGGATCGGTTTTGGAGTGAGAGTGGAAATGGAGTGTGTGCGCGTCCGCGCAAGACGCTGGGAAGAAAAAAAAATAAAAAAAAAGCTCTTCCCAGTCAGCTCCCCCAGACGGCTCTCCTCCTCCGCAAGACGGCTCTCTGCTGACCTCTCCAGACAGACGCCGGCAGCTCTTGCGAAATGACAGAGACGTGCATCGGGTCCCGCGACTGTGCAAACGCGATTTTTCTTTTTAAAATAAGCCGAAAACGAACGTCCCGCAGCCCCCTGCATCGGGCTCCCCGTCATCCTACACGATGCACACGTATCGGTGATGGCGCACGCTGGTGTAGCTGCATTCGCGGTTGACTTCGCAATTGTGTAGCTGCACAATCATCTTCCATCCAATCCAGAAGTTCCGTGATGTTCAATAGCATCAAGTTCAAGTTTATTGTCATTATACTCGTACACTGGTATATGATATAACGAGATGCTATTTAGCTAGCTCTCAGTCGGTAAGTAGTACAAAAAACAACAACAATACAATTGTATGAGAAAAGAAAGACAGAGACAACAGGCAGTGTGCAAAACACCAACAGGTGTGCAAAATCATACATCAACAGAATGAAATAAAGGATAGGAAATTATGGGGAGTGAACTTCTTGACATGTGAGGTAGAGGTAGATTTCAATGTGTGTTTGGGATTTGATGAAGAGAGAAGGCACTGTGAGGGTTCAGATTCTAGGTGAGAGAGGCTGGGAGTTTAATAGTTTGATAGTGTGGGGTAAAAACTGTCTCTGAATCTGGTAGTCTGGCCCGAACAGTCCGGTACCGTTTTCCAGATGGTAGAGGGTCAAACAGTCTGTAGCTGGGGTGTGTGGGGTCTTTGATAATGTTAGAGCTTTCCTCAAGCACCATCTGTCATAAATGTCCTGTATGGATGGGAGAGCAACCCCAGTGATGGACTGGGCAGTTTTCACCACCCACTGTAGGGCTTTGTGGTCAGCAATACTGCGGTTGCCATACCACAATGAAGTCCGGATTCAAGTGAAGCAACCTGTCAGTGGGCTTTCTGTAGTGCATCTGTAAAAGTCAGGGAGGATCTGGGGAGATGTCTTGGCCCTCTTCAACCGCTCACCACTAGAAATCAGTTGCTCATACGGCTGACCATAACAAGAGGGGGAAAAAAAAAAACTTGGTTTGCAGCACCAATAGGATATGTCTTTTAAATTGTAGTGTACAGGAGCAAACATATCAATAACACGCTGAAACACTGAAGGAAAAAAAAACGTTTCCATGGACACCCTAAAGCTGAAGAAATGCTACACGTTGTGGAGTTAACTGCTACCTGCTCACTCCAACCTCTCTACTGCATGTGGGACGTCCTGTTCCCTTAAACTGATTTCAGGAATCCTGCCTCCAGCTCCCCCAGCAAGCACACCTTGGTCCGGTCGGGTCCAGTTCCTTGTATTTAACACCTTGGAGACCCATTTTCTCCATCAGTGAAGTGCAGCAACACCTCCAGGTGTGTCATCCTTGCTCCAGTGGCAGCCCAGCTACACAACAGGGCAGGCAGGCACTTCACCAGTTAAATTAAGGGGAGACGAAGGCTAGCAGGCACCATACAATCAAAACACCAGTTCACACCCTGTAGCTCTTGACAGCACCCTGGGCCTTTCGGTGACCAGGTTAAAACTCACTGAAAGGACTAACACAGCAGTCCCTGCTCAAACTGGGGTACTACTTCAGAAATTCCAGGGCAGATAGGAGAGCACCTATTGATCTCCAAAAAACATTTAGAGTAAGAAAGAGGCCAGGCCCAGCCTTGCTTTTCATACAAAACCAGAGTTCTGAGCAGACAATTTACAGTAGTTAGTCTGGTGCAAGAATTCCCCTGGATCTTTCAGATATCCTACAGAAACAGCTTCCCTGTGCATAGACTAACCATTGGAAAAACCCCTCAACTGTGGTTCGAGTAGGCAGATGCGTAGACCGCAAGAGAACCAGAAGGCTCCACAGCCAAGATGTTTTCATTATGGAATAAACGTTTACCTGTTCCTTAATCCAGGTCGTCAAAATAGCTCACAAACATGAAACTGGATGCATTTAGTCTCATTCAATTTACCCGTCTAGAAATCACCATCAACCGTGAAGTGTTATCCTTCAGGGATAATGAAGGACTTCAGCATTCAAACACAGCAGAAACCAGAACTTGTCCCTTGTGGACTTCAGAGCCAAGAGCTCAGGGTGCAGCTTCATTGTGAAGATCAAAGGCACAGATTGCAGACAAGTGGAAACATCAGTCCTTCTAAGCTGCATTGATAGACACTTTTGAAAGACATACCTAATAAACTTTATTTACATTTCATACAATAAAGGTTTGACAGTCACATCAGTAACCTGTTATATACATCATGGAAAACACTGCTACACATATAAAAAAAAAAAAAAACAAAAAAAAAAAACTCTAGAAGTTGAAAGTGCTTTCAGCATCTTGGACCTGGAAGGCATAACCATCAGTCGTAGCTTCAGGAACAACACACTGGTCTTCCTCTTCCTGTGGCAGAGGAGAGAGAGAGATGAGTACAAGCTGGTCTGACCCATGCATGTTCTGAAGTAGTGAACAAGGCACCTCTCATTCTCCCAGTGAACCTCGAGCTAGTCGTCACAAGTCGAGCCACACCAGCCCACAAGGCTTGTGCAACTGGCACCTCTTCAGACAAGCATCGCATTTCAAACACCAGTAGTATAAATTCCACCAGACCCCCCCCCAAAAAAACCCAAAACTTGTATATTATGCTCACCTCTCCAGAGAAGTATTTATCGATCAGGTGTAGGGCAGCCTTGTAGACCATCTCGTTCTCATGGGACTGCAGGGCTTCAATCTTATCCAGGCCTCCATACTCCTCGATCATCACGGCCAGCTTCTCCACCTCGCCCAGCTTCTCGCCAGCCTTCAGGACAAGCCCACACACCGCTGGTTAAGAGTGGCAGTAACGGGGGGCACCGAAGAGCAACGGGAGCAGCACTCAACACCACCGCCAAGCGGGAGCAAAGATCGCAATCTGCCCCTTGGTGACCACCTGGCTTGCACTATTCCCCACATGCGCACATCACTAAACAAATCAAGATCAGGGGACATCAGTCGTACCACTTCAGAGGCAGGTCCAAAGCTCAGCACGTACCAGGAAGATGTTCGAGATGGCATCCAGGATCACAAGGAGAGTTTTGCTGTCCTTGGTGGACAGAAGGTTCAGCAAGGGCTCCAGCACGTTGGACTGAACCAGGTACACCACCTGTTCCACAGTCCCCCCGCTGGTGTAGTTGGTTATAGCCCAGACAGCCTCCTTCTGCGCCTTGTAGTCACCCTGGGTGGGGGAAACAGGATAAGAAAAATGCAGAATTACATTTTAAAATGATACCTAAAAAGTAAAAAAAAAAAAAAAAAAAAAAAAAGACTGCCCTATAGTTGTGGACAAAGGTTTTGCATTTCAAGATTTAGCAGAGCTTTTGGCCAAAGCTGTTAACCCCCCCAAAATATAATAATCTCGTTCAGAGCCAACAAAGAACCCCAGAACACCAGCTTACTCTTGAATGACTTGGGGCAAGGGCACTCTTGGATGACCTGGGGCAAAACTTTGGCTAGTTTTGTTCAAGAAAGCAATCTAGTCATTCTAATCTGGTGCTGGGTCCATGGTTCTTGGTACAAACAGCTGAGCAGGTGAACAGGTCAGAGTAGCTACAACAGAACCCAGACAACTGGACCTCAAGAGGGAAGCCCCAACACAGGGAGGGGCAGCACCGACCCACCTTCTGGAGCACCTCCACCAGGTACGGGACCAGCCCGGCGTTCACAACCTCCTGGATCTGGGTGTCGCGCCCGGCAGTGATGTTAGACAGGGTCCAGGCGGCCTCTTTCTGGATGTTGCTCTTGTGGTGCCTCAGCAGGGCTGGGAACATGGCCAGAGCTCCGGAGTCCAGCACTATCTGGGTCTGCTCATCCGTGCCGGTCACTATATTGCCGATTGACCTCAGTGAGGGAGTCTGGAGGGAAGGGGGTAGATAAGCTTTACAATTCAAGCAGACCTTCAGTTACCAAGTAAGCAAGGGACAGATCCCCATCGGTACATTTACCAACCACTGTGCAAGATGCATGCACCAGTTAACCCCTGTAATACCACCACAAGAGATCAAGAACACAAGCTACCAGAACAGTTCAGTTGTCTTTACAGCAGTCGCAAGGACGTTCACATAAATCTGCAAGAGAACCTTAAATGCAAAAAAAAAACCCCAAAACTTAAAAACAGGAGGAGCCATCTTTAAACCCACTGTGTTGCCCTGTGCCCTTGAGATGACAGTTGTTTTTAACAAGGCCCACAGTCTAAAGCAATGGCTTTCAAAGTGTGGTCCGCAGACCACCAGTGGTTCGGGAGCATGCACCAGGTGGTCCGAGAGCTGACCTAATCTCTTAAAGCAAGCCTAAGCTCTTAAAGTCGGAGGAAAGAATGGTGTAGTGTCCACTACAAAGGGGCTCCCCCTAGGAGCACTGTTAAGAACTGCAAGCTATAGTAGGAGGTTCAAGGGGTTTCACCAGCCATTCCGATTGCTCAAGAAAAGCAGCTCAGTTTTTCCCCACATTAACTGTAATAACCACTTGCAAAATATGCAGCTTTCTTTGTAAAAATTTGTACTTTTCATACAATTTAATTGGTTATTTTTTGTACATTCCTAGGTGATTTTTACAGGGTAAGAAGGGGACATAGGCATACGTGGTCCACTGCATCTGTGACTTAGTGTAAGTGGTCCGCGGACCACAGGCCTTTGAGAACCACTGGTCTAAAGGAATACAAGCCGTCCCGAGTCCGTGGGGGACGAACGAAGACAAGACGTACCACAATCGGAAGCTCTCCGGAGCCGAGCAGCTGGACCAGGCGGGACACCAGCCCGGTCCGCACCACCACCTCGATCCGGTCGTTGGGCCCATCGGTCAGGTAGGACACGGCCCAGCAGGTGTCGGCCAGCACCTCCCGGTCGTCATGGTGCAGCAGGCGCACCAGCGTGGGCAGCAGCTGCTGCACAGCCGCCAGGGGGGGCGCTGGGTTCTTGTTCCGGCACAGGTTGGACAGGGTCCAGGTGATGTTGCGCAGGTACCCGGACTGGAAGACACGAGGGACAGGAGAGTCTGCACGTCACGCCTGGGGAACTGGATTGTGAGCCCCCAGCGCCATCTAGTGCTCAAACCAAGCGAGCGACCCGGAAGTGTTCATTCACCAGCAGGACGCCCGAGACGTGCAATACAGGACCACACTTTCCTGGATAAGAGGCTTGGAGGAAAGGCTTGAATAAACTTCCAAGTCTCGGCTCTGAGAACTCACAGGAGCCCCATCACACGATCCCCCGCAATAAGCCGAAGCCGAAGCGCACTTACCGACAAGGCCGACAGCTCGGGAACAGCGAGCAGCGTGACAAGGGGATCGATGGCTCCGTGCTTAATGACTTTGTCCCTGTAAGCAGATCCATCACCTGAAACGGGAGGAGGGGGAGGAACACCGCTGAAATTCCTGCCACAGGAACAAG